CACACGGAGCCTCGCTGCTTCTTTCGCCTCGACGATCTGTATCGTGCGGAGCATGGTGAGTAGATGACGACTCCTGACTTGTTAGCATTGCTAAAGAAGGACATCGATGTGTTTGCTTGTGACTGGGATGTGATCCATGCTGGCATATATTCGATGTATGCTAGTGTTGAGGGTGACTTTTACGCGTGTGTGCCTAGAGCTGGTAGTGTAGAGGCTGCTAGTCTTGGTGCCTTTGACTCAGCTAGCACAGGTGCAGAGCCTGAGGAGGCCTTGCACTCTTTCACTCTCGACTCAGGCGCGTCTCGCTGCTTCTTCCGCGACTGCACCACAGTCACACCGCTCACAGTCCCGATCCCTGTCACTCTGGACGACCCCTCTGGTGGACCAGTCGTTGCACGTGGCTCCACTGTTCTCCCGTGTCCGGCAGCCCCCTCCGGTCCCCTCTCAGGTCTCCACCTCCCCTCGTTCGCTAAGAACTTGGTGGCTACCGCTGTCCTCCAGGACCAATTGGCTACTGTCACCCATCCTGGGGGAGAGCTCGTGGCGATCTGTACGGACTCATGCACTGGCGAGCACCTCACCACGTTCACTCGGAGGCCTGGGTCTGGCCTGTACACACTGACCACTGAGTCTGCACAGGTAGCTGAGTCAGGTCGGGTAGCTGCGTCACGTGAGGTAGCTGGGTCCTGTTCGTGTCGACTCCTCACGCACCCGGCTCTGCTTTGGCACCACCGTCTTGGTCACCCCTCCTAGCTGCGTCTGCGCAGCATGCACTCTCGTCTCCTTGTCTCTGGCCTCCCCAGGTCCTTGCCCCCGCTCCCGAGGTCACTTGCGCCGCTGTGCCTTCCCTGCGTCGAGGGGCGGCAGCGCGCCGCTCCTCACTCCTCCGCGTTTCCTCCGACCACAACTCCTCTGCAGACCCTCCACATGGACGTGTGGGGTCCAGCCAGCGTCACTGGACAAGGCGGAGAGCGCTACTTTTTGCTGGTTGTTGACGACTACACACGCTACACCACGGTCTTCCCCTTGCAGAGCAAGGCAGATGTCCGCAGTGTGTTGATCCGCTGGATCCGTGCTGTCCATCGCCAGCTCAGCGCTCGGTTCCGCAGGACCTCCCGGTCCTGCGACTGCACTCTGACCGAGGTGGTGAGTTTTCCTCCCGCCTCCTCGAGGACTTCGGTGGTGCTGAGGGCATCACCCAGTCGTTCACGCTTCCAACCTCTCCGCAGCAGAATGGGATTGCCGAGCGCCGCAATGGCTTGGTCATGGAGGTTGCTCGCACCTCCCTTGTCCATGCGGCTGCTCCCCATTGTCTGTGGCCGTTTGCGGTCCGATACGCTGCTGAGCAGCTCAACCTCTGGCCCCTTGTCTCCCACCCGGAGACGTCCCCTACTCTGCGGTGGACGGGCGAGGTTGGTGATGCGTCGGCGTTTTGGGTCTGGGGTTCCCCCTCTCTTGTACGCGATCTGCCCGCGGGCAAGCTCTCTCCGCCCACTCTTCGTTGCGTGTTCCTCGGCTTTTCCACCGACGCACCGCCCTGGCAGTTTTACCACCCGGGCTCTCGTCGTGTGATGTCCTCCCGCGACGTCAGTTTTGACGAGTCTGTCTTATACTACCGTCTTCACCCCCACCGCAGTTCCCCGATACCCCTCCCGCCCCTCTTCCTGGTTCCCGACCCCCCCCCGGTAGCCCCCCTTCCCCCTCATGGTCCTGCTCCTTCAGGTGTCTCCCAGGTTGACCTGCCCCCCTTGGTTGCGCCGTTAGAGGTTTCTTCCGACACCTCTGGCCCAGCTGAGGGGGGTGACCCAGCTGCTGACGACACGGCGGCTACTCGCCGCTCAACGCCCTTGGAGACTCCTCCTGGGTTTCTGCCTCGACCGTCTTCACCGCCTCTGCAACCAGTCGCTGTGGACTCTGGTGTTAGTAGGAGGTGGTGACACTGGGGGTGCTGATTCTGGGGGTGCTGGTTCTGGGGGTGCTGCGGGTCCTCCTGGTGGTCGGGTTGTGGGTACTCCTGCTGGAGCCTCTGGGAGTGGACGTCATCGGCAGCTGAGTCGACAGGAGACTCTCTCGCCGCAGCAGCTTCGTGCGTGGGCTGTCCGGTGGGGCAGCCCCGGTGGCGGAGCTGGAGGTGCTGGTGCTGGAGGTACTATTGGAGGAACTGGAGATGGAGGTGCTGGAGGCGCTGGTACTGGAGTTGGAGGTACTGGAGTTGGAGGTGCTGGAGGTGCTGACACTGGAGGTGCTACTGGAGGTACTGGAGTTGGTGCTAGAGGTCCTGGTACTCGTAGGCAGGAGTCGCTCTCGCCGCAGCAGCTTCGCGAGTGGGCTGTCCGGTGGGGCAGCCCCGGTGGTGGAGCTGGAGGTGCTGATACTGGGGGTGCTGTTACTACAGGAGCTGGAGGTTCTGGGGGTGCGACTACTCGGCAGCAGCCGTCTGCGCTCCGTCACCTTCTCAGTCTCCCACCTGCTGTTATTGAGTTTCCTGTTGCTGGCACTACTCCCCCGTTACTGTTCCCACAGCCTGACCAGTCTCAGCCAAAGTTACTGCCTCACTCCCCACTGCCTGCTCCTGCTCCTTACACTGCGATGACAGAGTCCCTCACTGAGAGTAGAGAGCCTGCGTCGCGTCCTGTCACGCCTGTCCGTACCCGTCGTACTACACGTCCTCGTCCTCCACCTGTCCTAGGCACCCACATTATGGTACTTCGTCCTTCCTCTATTCCACAGCGTATTGTCCTGCTGTCGCCTCCTGCGTCTTCTCTTCCTCACGTCCTTGACCCTGAGTCTGGCCTTTTTCGTGCTGCTAGTCCGACTGCCACTCGTCTTCTTGCCACGGCTGTGACTGACCCTACGCTTTCGTCGCCTCCTGCGTCTACCTTAGTCGCTGAGCTCGTTGACTTTGCTGCTCTGTGCCGCCTTGACTACGCTGCGAGTCTTGTTTTTTTACTCTGACTGTCTTCCGTCCGTCAAGGGTGAGCTTGCCCTTGGCTGTGACGTCCTTGAGGACAGGCAGTTTGAGCTGGAGTGCCTAGCGGTTGCTGCACCTCATCTCGCTACCATGCTACTTTGCCCTAAGGGAGACCCGGATGCACTGGACATCCCAACCCCGCGCTCTTACGCAGAGGCGATCACGGGTCCGTACTCCTCTCAGTGGCAGATAGCCATGGACGCAGAGATGGCTTCCTGAAAGTCCACAGGCACCTACGTCGACGCATTTCCCCCACCTGGGGCGAACATAGTCAATGGCATGTAGATTTTCAGAGTGAAGCGGCCGCTCGGTTCTCCGCATGCCTTCAAGGCGCGTTACGTTGCACGAGGCTTCAGTCAGCGTGAGGGGGTCGACTTCTTCCAGACCTTCTCACCCACCCCGAAGATGACCACTCTTCGGGTGTTACTGCACGTTGCAGCACAGCGTGACTACGAGCTGCACCCCCTCGACTTCTCGACAGCCTTCTTGCAGGGCAGCCTTCACGAAGAGATCTGGCTGCGCCGCCCTCGTGGCTTCACTGGGTCGTTTTCTGAGGGTACCCTGTGGAGCCTCCGGCGGCCAGTGTACGGTCTGCGTCAGGCGCCCCGTGAGTGGCATGACACACTGAGGACTACGCTTGCGGCTCTTGGTTTCGCTCCCTCGACTGCTGACCCTTCGCTGTTTCTGCGCACAGACACTTCTCTGTCGCCGTTCTACGTCCTCGTGTACGTCGACGACTTGGTGTTTGCTACTGCTGACACTGGGGCTCTGGCCCTAGTGAAGGCGGAGCTGCAGGAGAGACACACTGCACTGAACTGAGTTAGCTGCGGAGCTATCTTGTCTTGTAGATCACCCGGGACAGAGGACGGCGCACCATCACCCTGACTCAGTCACACATGGTGCAGCAGGTCCTTCAGCGCTTCCGGCTTCCAGATCTCCTCGCCACAGCCCATTCATCTGCCTACAGGCCACTCGCTCTCAGCTCCACCTTCGGATGAGTCTGTAGAGCCTAGTGGTCTGTATCCAGAGCTTGTGGGTTGCCTCATGTACTTGATGACGTGCACACGACCTGACCTCGCGTACGCTCTCAACCTCCTTGCTCGCTACGTTGCGCCCGGTAGACACCGGAAGGAGCACTGGACAGCTGCACAGCGGGTACTGCGTTACTTGTGCAGTACGTCAGGCATGGGGCTTGTGCTTGGAGGACGGGGTCCAGTTGTTCTCACCGGTCACTCGGACGCTTCTTGGGCTGACGACCAGACGTCTCACCGATCAACACAGGGTTACAGTTTCAGCCTCGGCACTGGTTCTGTCTCGTGGAGGTCCACTCGCTCGTCTTCTGTACTTAGTTCCACTCGCTCGTCTTCTGTATGCGACTGCCACGTCAGCAGTACCAGCACTGCTCAAACCTCACCGGAGTAGTCAAGCGAGTCAACTCCCGACACACCCAGGAATGAATGGGGGTGTTGAGATATGAAATTAAATCAGATGACATTACTTTACGCTGCAGGAGCCAACTCTACCGAGTACGAAGTCGAGGAGTCAGAAGAGTCGAAGCGACACCCGCAACCATCAAATCAAGACCGATGCAGGCATAAACATGTGCTATTTATCCCAGTCATTTACATTCACTCTAAACTGGCGTCACCACATCCGCTGCAACACCATCTACAAACAACCCAGAGCCTATCCCTGGCTAAGCCCTTTTTAGGATTGTAACATGTTCCATAAGGCAATGAGGAAAAGCATGCATGTGCATCAAGTGTACATTCAGCTCTTGGAAAATTACAGCATCAATGTGCTTCATAAAAGGAACCCTGACAAATTAGATACCATATTGTAGTGGTATGATTACCGAAAAAAGGCCGACAGGATTAGTACCGGTATGGTACTTGAAAAACATTATGATTTTTATAGACAGCGTCATTTAGCCTACAGGTAATAAGATTAGTAATGCACAGAGATGCGTTACAATTAGGGGTGCATATTCTGGTCAGGCGCTTCTGCTTCAATTCATGGATTAACAATGTTAGTACATCGAGTGGGTTCTGTACCTCCGTCTCTTCACAAACAATGTTGAGAGCACCTGCAGCAGCACTCTCTCATTGAGTGGCTTCTGCACGGCACCATCCATGCCAGCCTCTGTGGCACGGGCGGCAACACTGCTGTCCACATCTGCTGACATGGCCACCACATGAACCCGCTGCTGCCACTGCCAGCCCCCCTCCTCGTCCCCCCCCTCTGCCACACTCTCCACCACCACTGGCATGCGCTGCAACCCCTGTTGTCCCTGTTCTTCCCGGGCCATCTGAGCGGCGGCCTCGAAGGCGCGCACGCGGGTAGTAGTCTGAAAGCCATCAAGGCCGGGCATGTGGAGATCCATGAGCACGAGGCGGAAGGAGTGGCGTGCCTGCAGCAGGCGCAGCGCCGCCTCGCCCGACTCTGCCAGCGCCACCTCCGCCCCGTACCGCGCCAGCGTGCTCGCTGCCACCCGCCGGTTGATCACGTTGTCGTCCACCACCTGGGTGAGTGCAGGGAGTACAGGGGGGTGCAGAGGGGTGAGACAGAGGGACGGTTGATCACGTTGTCGTCCACCACCTGGGTGAGTGCAGGGAGTACAGGGGGGTGCAGAGGGGTGAGACAGAGGGACGGTTGATCACGTTGTCGTCCACCACCTGGGTGAGTGCAGGGAGTACAGGGGGGTGGAGAGGGGTGAGACAGAGGGACGGTTGATCACGTTGTCGTCCACCACCTGGGTGAGTGCAGGGAGTACAGGGGGGTGCAGAGGGGTGAGACAGAGGGACGGTTGATCACGTTGTCGTCCGCCACCTGGGTGAGTGCAGGGAGTACAGGGGGGTGCAGAGGGGTGAGACAGAGGGACGGTTGATCACGTTGTCGTCCACCACCTGTGCGTGCGGGGAGTTACACGGGGGGTGGGGAGGGGATGAGAACGGCGGGACGGAGATGGCATGCGGCTGGTCACATTGTCGCCCACCATCTAGTGGATAGAGCAGGGGAGAGTTTGAGAGGGAGAGGTTGGGAGGGAGAGCTTGAGTGGAAGAGGTGCGTGAGAAGACGGAGGGTCGCACGGAATATCCAGTACGAGCGGAATTACACGTTATGCTTGCCACTATATTCCAAGATGACCAGTTTTTTTCCTTTGTCCTGTGACATTTCAACGCGCGGGACAAGCCTCGTTCCAGGGAACTCCGACACATTGTATGCTCTCTCCAAATGACCCCACCAAACTGCCCTTGCTCGCATCTCACCAGGATCGCCATGCCCTGAAGCATCTCCTTGAGAGCCTCCTTGGCGCACACCACCTTCTCACCCGCCCCCTCCACCACGCTTGTGCCCTCCGCCTCTCCACGTTCCTCCACCCCCGCGCTCGCACTCAAGCTTCTGTTGCCCACTCTGGCAATGGGGCTGGGCTCGCCCCCCTCGGCAGCACCACAACCAACAGCTAGAGCGGAATAAGCAGAGGACTGGGCAGCAGAGGAATGAGCAGCGGTAGCAGCAGCAGCAGATGCAGGAGGTGGAGAAGGAGGAGGTGGTGCTGCATCAAAGGGCAGAGCGACGTGCAGAGTGGTGCCGATGCCCTCTGCGCTGACCAGACCCATGCTGCCGCCCAGAAGGGACACCTGCGACAAGTTGGAGCAGCAGGAGAGGGGGTTGACGAAGTAGAAAGGGAGGCGCTTGAGATGAGAAACTTGATGGAGAGAAGAAAAAGGGAGGGAGGATGTTTCAAGCCGAATGCTGACAGACAGACAGACAAGAGCAGGCAAGGGAGAAGAAAGTTAAAGAAGGAGCCTCACGAGTATCTCCACCTTCACCGCACAAACCACTCTCTCTGCAGCTCTACAGCCTTGAAATCTAACATCTCTGCATGTCCATGTCCTCTGCACTCCATCAGTTGAAGCTGTGCAACAAAGACTCAGCAGGTGCGAAACGAGACTCACCAGCTGGCGAGACAAGTGAAGGCTCATGCCGCTGCCCGCCATGCGCGTGTCTCTTCTGGTGTGCCTGGTGAGGGTTGGTGTGTTGGATTGGAAGGCGGAGCACTTTTGAGTCGACTCAAAGTGGATGATGCCTACGTGGAGCACTCATGCAGGTCAATGAGCTAACACGTGGAGCACTCATGCAGGTCAATGAGCTAACACTTGGAGCACTCATGCAGGTCAATGAGCTAACACTTGGAGCACTCATGCAGGTCAATGAGCTAACACTTGGAGCACTCATGCAGGTCAATGAGCTAACACTTGGAGCACTCATGCAGGTCAATGAGCTAACACTTGGAGCACTCATGCAGGTCAATGAGCTAACACTTGGAGCACTCATGCAGGTCAATGAGCTAACACTTGGAGCACTCATGCAGGTCAATGAGCTAACACTTGGAGCACTCATGCAGGTCAATGAGCTAACACTTGGAGCGCTAGAGTTGGCCCTTTCTAAATTTGGTTGTGGCTTCAACTCACGAACACCACATGCTGTGGCAGCCAGCTTTAGCGTGTCGGCAAACAGGTGCAACGCATGAGGCGCATGGCATGAGAGGGCAGCTGGCATGAGGGGCAGGGCTCACCTCCTTGGTGCCCCAACACACATGCTGTGAGCTCACCTGCATGAACGCCTGAAACACGTCGCGCTGCTCCTCCTCTGCGATGCCACACCCCGTGTCCTCACATGTCAGCAGCACCACACACCGCCTGCCAGCATCCCCCGGATGCACCGTGCTCTGCTCCTCAGCCGGCCCCTGCCACCACCTCCTCACTGCATCCCTCCATGTGCCCCTGCCACCACCACCTTCTGCTGTTGCTGCTGCTTCACTGCCTGCTTCACATGTGCCATCTACCCAACATTCTTCCCTCTCACTCCTCCCCCCCTCGCACGCAACCCCTGCAACCCCCTCACGCGCACCCCCCTCACGCGCACCCCCCTCACGCGCACTAGCACATGGACCCACTCTATCTCGCTCATCCCCCTCCTCCCCTTGGCTGTGCATCAATGACGCCCCCTCCCCTCCTCTCCAACCACTGCCACCCTCTCCTTCCCTCTCCCCCCCACCACTCTCCTCCCCACCTTGCTGCACACCACATGTTCCTCCCACCCTAGCACCCCCACCTACTGCCCTATCCCCATCGCCTTCTTCTCGCACTGCTGCGCCCCCACCGTCACCTCTCCATTGTTCCGAAACCCCCTCACCTTTCCTGCGCTCGTGTTCTGCATCACTCCACCCTTCCTTCCCTTGCCCCTGCCTCTCCCCCTCCCCCTCTTCCCTCCCCCCCCTCTGGCCCACTCCCTCCCCCTCCTCCTCCTCCTCCCCCTCCCCCTCCCCCTCCCAATCCCCCTCCCCCTCCCCATTCCCTTCCCCCTCCCCGTCCTCCTCACCCTGCTCCCCCCCCTCCGCCAGAGGGGTGCGCCAGGGGCTCATGGAGAAGCGGGCGCTGAGTGACGTCAGCTGGTTGCGCAGTGGCTGCGGGTCCCAGTTGCCCATCACGGCCCACAGCAGCCCGCGCTGCTCCACCTGCTCCCTCCACGACACCGGCTCTGCTGCCAGACCCGCACTGGCAGCATCGGCAGCAGCAGCAGCGGCAGGCGAGGAGCAGCCGGGGGTGGCTTCAGCGACGAGGCAGCCGAGGGAGAGCAGGTGGGTGGGGATGTGGGTGTCGGGGGGAAGGCACTGCAGCCGCACACACACGCCCCCGCTGCTCGTGAACTTGATGGCATTGTCTGCAGTAGGTAGCATTTGTGCAAAAAAAACAAAAAAACAGCAAAACAAAAACAAAAAAACGCAACAATAGGACCAAAGTTGTGTGATGGGAAGGGAACAAAAGAAGCCTAACACATAATTTAGGTTCATCAAGCAGCAATGCACACGACATCCCGTTGAGCCCTGGTGGCTCACTCACCAACGATGCTGTCCACCACTTGACTCACCCACGATGCTGTCCACCACTTGACTCACCTACGATGCTGTCCACCACTTGACTCACCCACGATGCTGTCCACCACTTGACTCACCCACGATGCTGTCCAGCACTTGACTCACCCACGATGCTGTCCACCACTTGACTCACCCACGATGCTGTCCACCACTTGACTCACCTACGATGCTGTCCACCACTTGACTCACCTACGATGCTGTCCACCACTTGACTCACCTACGATGCTGTCCACCACTTGACTCACCCACGATGCTGTCCACCACTTGACTCACCCACGATGCTGTCCAGCACTTGACTCACCCACGATGCTGTCCACCACTTGACTCACCTACGATGCTGTCCACCACTTGACTCACCCACGATGCTGTCCACCACTTGACTCACCTACGATGCTGTCCACCACTTGACTCACCCACGATGCTGTCCACCACTTGACTCACCCACGATGCTGTCCACCACTTGACTCACCCACGATGCTGTCCACCACTTGACTCACCCACGATGCTGTCCACCACTTGACTCACCCACGATGCTGTCCACCACTTGACTCACCGACGATGCTGTCCACCACTTGACTCACCCACGATGCTGTCCACCACTTGACTCACCCACGATGCTGTCCACCACTTGACTCACCCACGATGCTGTCCACCACTTGACTCACCTACGATGCTGTCCACCACTTGACTCACCAACGATGCTGTCCAGCACTTGACTCACCCACGATGCTGTCCAGCACTTGCTGCAGGCGCATGTAGTCCCCCTGCAGCACCTCGGGCACACTCGTATCCACACGGCACGCGACTGGGCACGGGCACACGCACAAACAAGTAGTACAGGGGTTACAAGAAGAAACACACAACGTTGGCTTGTGAGATGCGTGATGGATTGCTTTCTAGCACCAGAGGAACGGGCATGGCTGGAAGGGACCGAAAACGGATGCGAGGAAGAAGATTACAGTTGAGGTTGCGCGCGTGGGCGGCGCAGGCATGGGAGTGCAGCGCGTCCCGGAGCCAGGAGCGGGTGTGGAAGGGCAGGTGCTCCATGTGCAGGCGGCCGGCCTCGGCCTTGGAGACGTCGAGCACGACGTTGATGAGCGCCACGATGCGCTCCACCTCGCCCACCGCCGTCCCCACGTCCTCCCTCTGCCGCCCGTCCACCTCCCCCTCCGCCAGCTCCTCCAACATGCCTGTGGGGAGAGAAGGGGCGGGGGGAATGGAGAATTGTGTGAGAGAGGTGTCCCTCCGCCAGCTCCTCCAACATGCCTGTGGGGAGAGAAGGGGCGGGGGGAATGGAGAATTGTGTGAGAGAGGTGTCCCTCCGCCAGCTCCTCCAACATGCCTGTGGGGAGAGAAGGGGCGGGGGGAATGGAGAATTGTGTGAGAGAGGTGTCCCTCCGCCAGCTCCTCCAACATGCCTGTGGGGAGAGAAGGGGCGGGGGGAATGGAGAATTGTGTGAGAGAGGTGTCCCTCCGCCAGCTCCTCCAACATGCCTGTGGGGAGAGAAGGGGCGGGGGGAATGGAGAATTGTGTGAGAGAGGTGTCCCTCCGCCAGCTCCTCCAACATGCCTGTGGGGAGAGAAGGGGCGGGGGGAATGGAGAATTGTGTGAGAGAGGTGTCCCTCCGCCAGCTCCTCCAACATGCCTGTGGGGAGAGAAGGGGCGGGGGGAATGGAGAATTGTGTGAGAGAGGTGTCCCTCCGCCAGCTCCTCCAACATGCCTGTGCGGACAGCAGGGGGGAGGGGGGGGGGGAGGGCACAACAGTGCGTCATCCATTCCATGGTTACCATGAAAAGAGTCACAGGCACCGCACCACACCGTACTATGAGTCTTTGCTTTGCACGTGTACACCGCACCGCACCACACCAACCATCCCTTCCACTGTGCCACGATAGTGAGACTCTTTGTACCTCTCAGAGCCTGCCAGGTCAACGAGGTTAAGTTGACTGGTGCGCTTATTGCTGATGCCATTGGCGGTCCACTACAGCAGTGAACAGACACGGGCACATTTGCACACGCAAGCAACACATAAGAAAGTGCAATCATGGAAGGGGCATGTACTGAATGTGGCACATTTGGCATTTTACGTTTACGGTGGTTTACGTGTACGTGACTTTACGTAGTAAACTTACGTTTACTTACGTGGACCCAAAACGGCTTTACGTTTACGGTCAGCCAGAAACATTTCTGGCTGCCCGGAAAGATAAGAATTCATCGCACTAAGTGGCTGCATGGGAAGCGCCTAATCAATCAATAGCTTGGTTCTTCTATGCCCAAGCATGTTAGCACATTATTACATCAACTTACAGATGCCCCAAATCTACACGGACATGTCACAGCGTCTCCCACCTCATATCAGTCAGATTTTTCCATTTCGCAGCCAGAAAAACTTTTTTTGCCCTGCCCGTGCGAATTTACGTAAAATTACGCGTAAGAAAACGTTAAGGTAAACTCAAGCGTAAGTTTACGTTTACGTGACCCTAAAAAACGTAAAGTACCAACTAAGGAATGTGCTCACTCACAATGCGTCCTGCTTATCAACACTGTGAATGCTCTGAATATTGCCCGTGAAGTATTGAATCTGACTAAAATTTCGCCTTTAGACATTGACTCCTTGCACAGCAACTGCTAGACCTTGCATGGTTGGAAATGGCTCTGGAAGGGTTGTGCCCAGTGCTGACATCAGCAACACATACTTCGCCCTCTGCACTTTCAGAAACAACTCGCATCACTCCGCCCATTCACGGCCGCGCACCTTTCAGGCCGATGATGGGGGTGCGCAGCTCATGCGCAGTGTTGGCGATGAAGGCACTCTTGTTGCGCTCCGCCACCTGCGTTCTCTCCTTGAGCACCGCCAGCGCCGTCACCTTCTCGCGCACGCCCCGCGTGTTGCACGCCACGCTCACCCCGATAGCCGCCAACAGCGCCGCCACCACCACAATGACCACCCCCAGCAGAACAGACGTCCAGCTGACGACCGCATCGGCGCCACTGAAGCTGCGAGCGGAGGAGTGCATGGGTGAGGGATGGGGGATCACAAGTGTAAAACTTAGACGTGAAGGTAGAGGATCCGTAGAGGGTGGAGAATATTGTTGTAATGCCCCGTAAGAGTTTTTACGCTTGACGCTAAGGGCCCTGAGTGTTAAGTCCAACTTAGATGGAGAGAGAAGAGCGACACAAAGTATGGAAGGGACAAGCGGATCAATACACGACTCGGAGGCAACTCACCGGCACCAGAGCTGGTACGATCTTGATGTGTCGGTGAGATTGATCTGCTGCACGGACTTGTGTCGGTGTGGCTGCAGCATTGTCTCGTTGGAGGGCGGAATGAGCTTGGCCACTTGCATTGGATTGCCTTCAGGCAAGTCCCCCACCCCGTACAGCAGGCGCGGGCCCAGCGGGGTGGAGGAGTTGGGGAGGATATCCGTGGCAGTGACGTCATACACCTCCAGAGAATATTCCACGCCTGCAGCAGCACGAGGGGAACACTCTGTTTAGGTTTGAGCATGGTGGTATACTTGTTTATGTGGACAGCACTCTGCAGCAAGCGCGTGAGGGGAGCAGCACTGCTCCTTCCATTCTAGTTAAAATATTCTATTCTCTTAAGCAGCACGTTACCTTGGCGGAGCACTTCATTGATGATGAAGGCGGCGAGGCTCTTGAAGTCGATGGACGCCGCTATCAGCCCCACCAGCGCCGCCCGCCTCTCCTCCAGCGGCGAGGCTGTGGTCACGCCGTCCCTGAAGATTGGGAATCCCATGCCTGCCCGCACATTTGAGGGAGAAAAGAAGGGGAGGGGGTAAGGGGGGAGCTGAACACGGACGTAGAGTGTGAGTGAGGGAGTGATAGAGAGGGAAGTAAGAGAATGGGATGGAGAGCAGGGAAGCACATAGGGACTGGGATAGGCATGAGCAAAGGTCGGGCCGAGGGCCGACCTGGCCCGATTTAAGGGTGGTAAGGGCCAGCTATTTTGGAAAGCCGGCCCCGACGCGGGCCGGCCCGAGCCCGAACCGGCCCCAGCCCGAACAGGCCCGAGCCCGAACCGGCCCGAGCCCTGTCCAATAAGCACGGAGCCAAGTCGCGTGTGGCAACCTTTAAGTCAGCTGGATCATAGATTGTTCTCACTACACTTGTGTGTGACTTGGGGCTTCCGTGCATGCGTGCCGTGTGCGTGCGGGGGTAGACACGCCAACCCGACCCGACTTTGCTCGACCGAGCCGGGAGGGCTTATAGGGGTCAAGTCGGCTGTGCCCCGAGGGCGGGTCGGATTGACCCAGTCCAGAAATATCCAATCAACCCCGGGAAGACCAACCCACCATTTCGCCCACCGATCCGCGCGGATCCGCGATTTCAACCACCACTCGAAGACCGGCGATGTGCAGGGGCGAATGTGGGTGGGTGTGCGGGTGGGTGTTGGGGTGGGAGTGCGGGTGGGTGTGCGTGTGTGTCGGCCACACTCACCCATGCCAGCCTCGCCGTTATCAAGCACGTAGGGCATGTTGAGCTGGTTGGCGGGCAGCTGGTGCATGTGGGAGAGCCCGGGTCCGTACGAGGGGTGTGTGCGCACGTTCACACACGTGGAGGTCATCTCGAGCAGCGGTATGGGCGGGTTCTCCTGGAACCACACGCGCGAGTTCATGTACCAATCCGCCTCCGGGGCCGGCTTGCCCAAGATGTCCAACAGCTTGCACTGCGCCCGCTGCTCAAAGGCCGCCCTGCAGCGAGTGAAGGGGGGAGAGAGGGGGAGATTACTATTGAAACATTTCATACAACCTTTGACAACAAGAGAGGCCTTCCTCTCATTGCGAAGGGTCACTTCATCTCCTCACAGCACATCTCCTCACAGAATTTATTCAGGACTTCACGGGAAACAAGGAACTCTCTTTGCATGACCGTGGGTTTGTCTTGAATGCGATGCGAGGCAGAGAGGAATGGATGGTGGGGGAGACGGGATGGAGAAGTGGAGTGACGACGAGGAATGGAGGGGAGCGACGGATGCAAGAACGGAGGGGGGGAGGGAGGGGAGAAAAGGGGGCCGAGGGAGGGGAACAAGTGGGACGCGGAAGGGGAGAAAGCGGGAACGGGTAGGGTGAGGAAAGAGAGGTAGGGGAAGCGGGGGAGGAAGGGGGAGGGGGGGAATACGAGCTGACCTGTCGGATCCGTTGATGACGGCCATGTACCCCACGGCGTGCACCCATGGCTGTGCCGCCACGGTGCGCTCCACCAGGTGCACGAAGCGCCGCTGCGTGAGGCAGCTGCCCACCGCCCAGGGGTTCGTCCTCACGCCGCCAAACACCGTCGCCAACCCCGCCAGCACCTGATGGATGTGGAGGGGCGCATGGGGGCAACGAGTGGGCAGGGCGCGTCCTTTCATGGCGTGACGACTCCTCTCCACACGCTGACCATGATGGACCGCGACTCAAACGACACGCGGCCTACTCAGCACGCGATTTACACAGCACGCGTTTTACACAGCACGCGGTTTACACAGCACGCGGTTTACACAGCACGCGGTTTACACAGCACGCACGCGGCTGGCGGTTTAAGTGCGCGCCACTGCGGTGGCCTGCAGGTTCCAACATTACACCCTTATTCCCTCCTCTACCCGTCTCCCCTTTGCTGACAGCAACCGTGCTGAATCCCAACTTGCCGCGACCCTCGATTCTGCATTACCTTCGTCCGCACGAGATCACCTCAAGATCGTGTTTCGACCCTCGCTGGTTACAACCGCCAACCTAATTTCGCCACGCAACCGGTTTTCCGCCGTTGCGTGTGGGTACCATGGTCGATTCATGAGCGTAAAGACTCGTTGACTTACTCGTCACGAAAATCGCTCGTGCCGCGCGCGCGTGCGATCAACCTGGATAGTCGCGCCGCACCGCAACCTAGACTCGTAAGGACATGCGGAGAATGTAAAATGCAGCTCCTGAACAGTGAGCTCGATGAATCTTGGTCGATAATGACCTAAAATAAACGCGTGGTAAAACGCGAGCCTAAATGAGCGCGAACGACCCGCGGACGGTTTAACCGTTCCCCGATAGTCCGCGCCGACGCCACAAGAATCGCCGCGCCGGCGGCTCGACAGCAAACGGACGAACGAAACACCTCTCTTCATGCGTAATAGTAGCTGCACTTGGTCGGCCGTGTACCTGCACGTGGTCGGCCGTGTACCTGCACGTGGTCGGCCGTGTACCTGCACGTGTCGGCCGTCTACTACCTGCACGTGGTCGGCGGTGAGCATGAACTGCTGCTGCAGCGAGCGCGCGCGACCGGCGCACCAGGTGTCGAGCTCCGCATTGCGATTGTCGTCGAATCCCTTCTGCACCCTCCACGCCACCAGCCCCGCCAGCACGCCCGCAAGCCCCATCCACACCGCCACCGCCACCGCCATTCGCCGCACCCCCTTCCGACTCGCCATCGCCTAAGAAGGGTTCCTCGCAGTCTTAAAAAATATACTACTATTAGGGAAGGTCTGGAGGTCTCGCCTCTCCACGTCCAGTACCCTTACTAAGGAGTCATCTAGGAGACCGAGAGGATTAAGCCAAAAGAGTGCGTGCTACTGAGTGTGGCAATATCCGTTTCTTAGAACGCTACAATTCTGGATGGCTATCAAACCGCTCTAGAACGCCGCAAATCTCGAATCCGACATGTAGCCTTCGAGCATCTCATTCATATCAAACGTAGGAATGACCTAATAACCTTTTCGTCGCTCGGTACTAAGGCATGCAGCCACCGAACCAGTTTGAAACACGGAAGTACAATGTATAAAATATTCCGCTAGGATTCGCGCTCTAAAGACCGTGTAATGGAAGCCGCCATCTACGCAACGCACAGTTCCTAACACCCAAGCCCTCGTCTTTGCTACGCACAGTTCCTATCACCCAGCCCAGCCCGATGTGAAGGGGTTCGACCGTTCTTTGAAGATGGCGTTGTGAACCAGGGCTGACGATTCAAGGGCAAATGCCCTTAATTCCCTGAACATTAAGGGTTGGGTTCAGCCCAGATTCCGAATTTTCAGGGTTGGCTTTGAGGGCAGCCCTTTCCCGCAAAGTGCTGGTTGTGGGCCTAACCCGGATTTCAAGTGCAGATCCGCGGCTAGCCCTCATCTTCCCTTACTAATACCTCCCTCCCTCCCATTCGCTCACCAGTCCCCCCACCTCCTCCCAGCCACTCCCCTTTCTCCTTTTCCCATCCCCATCAAATCCATCGACATGTTTCGTACCTCAGACTATTGCCTAGCTGGATCTTAGTAGTTTGCCTAGGATACGGACCCGAAGCGATGTAGGTTTTCCTTAGCAAAAGTGCAGAAAAGTTGGTAGCCCTGATTTCAAGTGCCAGGTTGGCTCTCAGCCCGTAAATTTCAGGGCAACTTTTGGGGCACCTCAGCCTCTCAAGTTCTGGGTCCAAACCAATCGACAGCCCTGTTGTGAACCCCTTCATTGGCTAGACACACAAGCTTGCTCATAGCTTTGGGCACATCACATGAATTTTCCACTCATCACATGAAGGGTAAGTAGCTTTCGCGGGGGTACTACTAGGGACCCCGCGCTTTCTAGGGAGCTACAGTGCCAGCAGCGGGCACTTTCCGCCCCTCCGTGCCTCAGACAGGGGAATTATAGAAACAACACAGAACTCTTCCCCACATTCACCCACGTGGCACAAGTTTCGTACACCAACTACTGTACTGGGCAACTTGTCAACTGTGCGCAACTGACTTTTGTCCCGTCTGCCAAATCGAGTCCCCACTCTGGGTGGCTCGGCTGCCACACTGTTCCGAAATCTGCTAGGCTAGTTTGTCGCGCCCTAGATTTCGGAACACAGGCCAGCTCGCCAGACGGAAACGGAGTAGCACTCCGTCAGGTCTTCCGTGTGACTGTTTCCGTCAGTGGTTTCAGACACACATTACAGAAACGCGATTTTGCACATGGGCGATAAAAATACAAGTCTCAGATTGGATAAATTGTTGATTCGCCTATGAATATGAATATCGTAATAGGAAATGAGGGTATTGATTTTAGTAGTGGGTCCTCAATCTTCTTAATGTATACCCGTAATAAAGCATACGGTAGTACTTACCTGAATTTAAAATCGTCATTTTATCAAGCAACTTGATATGCTTACTACAACACGAGACTCTACCAAACGACGAACGAGACACTGAATAGGGACCATAAGCACGTTTCTTTTGAGTATATTTACAACTTCATATGCATTTATTATGGCCAATAAGACAACCATAGCTCCTGACTTTGCAAACTTTATCGAGTCACCATATGCGTACGTCGTATCCATATACGCTTGTTTACCTATGTTAATCACTTGCGATTGATCTCAAAACCGGGCAGCATCACCTACATACAGAGTATGGGCATTGGTTTTAACGACGGGATTTAAAAAGAAATCACAAATGGCACTATTCAGCTGAGAGTTGTATTAATGGGTATCCTTGAACACATTTGTTTTGTACTGCGCACGGACACTTGACTATCTATGCAAATCAATTGCGATTGGAGAACAAAAAACCGTACAGCCTCACCTATATACATAGGGTTTAGGGTCTATTGGTATAACAAGGACACTAAGCAACTAAGAGTGTTATGAATCGCTATCCTTATACAGGTTTGACCCGCTTTTTTTTTTCAGACGCTTTAATACCATTGGAAAACAGATGCGATTGATTTCAAAACCGGGCAGCATCTCCTAGATTCAAAGTAGGGGCTATTGGTATTAAGAACAGTTTTGACCCATTATGCATTCTAAGGCTTGATTTCTTATGCAAATCAAATGCCATTCATCTCAAAAGCGGACAACCTCACCTAGACACATAGTAGGATCGTTTGGTATTAAGAAACGGTAGTAAAAAAAAAAAAAAACGGCCCTATACAGCTGAAAGTGGTACGAATGGCTAACCTTGAAGAGATTTGACAAGTTCTGCGCATAGCCGATTGATTATTTAGTCAAATCAACTGCGATTTATCGCAAAACTGGACAGCGTCACCTAGACACATAGTTGGGCCTATTGGTATGAAGAAACGGGAGTTAAAAAAACAAAGAATAATGGCACTAGTCAACTGAGAGTGATATGGATGGCTTTCCTTGAATACATTTGACCCCTTATGCGCACTGGCACTTGACTTGTCAAAACTAGCAGCAGAAACAAGAATGAAGAAAGGAGGGGTTTGACTAGCAAGCAGTTGGATACATATAGCAAACCCTAATTGGGCTGTACTCACTATGGAGTACCCCACTGCAGGCTAGACAATTATAACATTCTGACACACCCCCATAGCCAAAGTGGGGTGTAATCAGCACAACAAGCAAGCATAGTAATAGTTCACAATTATAAGCAAAGCTAGAGGCTAACACAGAGGGCAAGTGAGGAGGAGGAGAGACTGTGGGGGAGAGAAGACGGGAGGCGACGACTGAAGCTGCAGACACACGGGCAACAGAAGCGGCTGGCACAGTGGCTACCGTAGCAAGGGCCCCGGACTACTGGAGTAACAGACTCCGCGGCTACGACGAGCGGCAGGAGCAACGGACCCACGGGCGACTGGCGCAGCAGGCTCGAAGAAAGGGTAGCGCGCCCGGGGCGCGCGACAGCAGTAGAGCAGCGGAAGCATTAGGTGGTGGGCCCACCCACAGGATCGACCCAAGGGGGTCGACCTGCTCTGATAGCATGTCAGAACTAGCAGCAGAAACAAGAATGAAGAAAGGAGGGGTTTGACTAGCAAGCAATTGGATACATATAGCAAACCCTAATTGGGCTGTACTCACTATGGAGTACCCCACTACAGGCTAGACAATTATAACATTCTGACATGACTACCTATCCAAATCAATTGCGAATCATGTCCAAACCGAACCGTCTCAACTAGACACATAGTAGGGGCTATTAGTATTAATCAACGGGAGCTATAAAGAATAGAGGGCCCTAAACTGCAGAGGTGATATGACTGGCCATCCTTGAACAGTTTTGGGCCGTTATGCACACTAAGGCTTGATTACATATGCAAATCAATTGCGAGTCATCTCAAAACCGGACAACCTCACCTAGGAACATAGTACATCTCAAATTTCATGAATCGTTTTACTAAACGTAGATATACTTGCAACATATCCTGAAGTATACAAATAGTATGGGTCATTAGGGGTACCATAAAGTAGCTGTCAGAACATTATATAGCTTATGCTGTTGTGTAGGCTATAGTGGGGTATCCCATAGGGGGTACAACCCAATTAGGGTTTCCTATATGTACTCACTTCATTCATAGTTCACCCATTCGCTTTCTCCTTTCCACATGGAATCAGAGCAGGTCC